GCTTATTCGATTGCTTACATATTTCGAGTTCTTACACTCGACTTTTTCCTTTCCTTTTTAAAAATCAACTCGATATCCTTCTAGGTTCTACAGAACCTGTTTAAATATGGCGGATGTTATGCGAACACTATTGAAACCTGAGTATAACTGGATTTCTGGAGAAACCCAAAATGATTTCTTCACAACACTTATGTACCAATAAGCCATTTGGGGATTTCGAATAAACAAACAAGACGATTCACCCCCCGAATATTTTAAATGTGTGCTACACAGACGCTTGTGGACTTGGAAACAAAATTTGCGAGCTACGCTTGATGATATATGAATTAAGTTTAGGTATAAGTATTGTCACAGAAATGTGAGCTCATCGTGATTCAGACTACAGGCTGTATCTATGTTAGAAGACAGAGAGTTCTTCAGAAATCAATTTCGTGCACAATCAAGTACGCTAGGGGCACACGATAAGGACACACATGAGGTAGCATGTTGCACAATAAAATCAAGACATTAGTTACTGACCATGGGAGAATATGCCATGTTCCACGTTGTCTCATGGACGGCTAAACCCTAAGAAATATCTGTATCCGAATTAAGGACAATTGTTATCTCATCGTTGGAGACTTCGATTCTTCAAGCATCTGTTGGATTGAACTTACGACCTTAGGAGGATGTTTTGATAACAGCCTGCTGAAGAATACTATTCAGTATGCACTTGTTCAACTTATCATAAAACCAACATATATTGGAACATGAACCATCATTGATGGACCTCGTCTTTACACACTACTGTGCCAATGTTACCGACATTCAGCACCTGCCTCCACTAGCGAGCACTGATCACGTGTTGCTTCATTTTAGGTTTCGGACACAATATAAACTGTGGATCTGCTCTACTTCGCTCCAACATCTAATAGGCTAACAGTACGCCGATAAGACTATTCCATTTCAATAGATTGGTCATTCGGACACAAATTAAATGAGGTTAGAGCCACATTCGAGTCCGTAGCACTACCCTTCATCCCACGGTCAATACGTCAACTATCATTCCACCGTTCAAGAATCAATCAGAAAAACCGAAGGCTGATGAGGTGCAGGAATCCTACATGTAACTTGATCTTATGAACAAGCCATAAACTATTTAGGTGTGAATACCGAAAAACCCAGAATATTTCTAGATGTCGCATCACATACGAAAGACAGCTTGCATATAATAGCCGTACTCGCTCAAAATGATTGTTTTTGTACACTAAGAGAAAACAAAACGTAGAGATTGAAATTCTCAATCACTGTTTCATGAAAATTCAGATATACTGGCTGAATCAGGTTTGACCAGAACTAATACTATGCCAATCTATCTTGGTGAGATCAACTCTACAGTTATTATTGACAACACTTCTCATAACCACACAACTGATATGCAGGCTACGGGACCGGTTCATGCAACTGGGAAATGTATTCTTCAGTCAACCATTAACCTCAAACTTTTCTCAACATTAACTCCTTGGGGATTGGACGGATGATACCGTTTTTTCAAAAGCATTCGATAAGGTTTCTCAATTAGGACCTGTGTAGAACGTCTCGGGCTTTCGAATAACAGGTGACGTACAGGGATGGACAAGAAACTTCTTATATCGCCAAAGACAGAGGGTGAGAGCAGAGTGAACACTATCTAAGTGGAAGCCGGTCATAAGTGGTGTACCTCAAGTCACCACCACAATAAACAAAGGGTGTCTCCGTCAACCAAAACTCCTGTTGACGTACGTGAAACGAAACGCAATGATTACATAAATGTCAGTTTATCTCAAATGCCAACATTTCCTGTAAAATATCTAGAATACAAGTCAGTTTACAAAGTGACAGTTACCAAAAGTCCAACAAACAGAGTTTAAAATCTCGTCATGGGCCCAAGTGACAAAACATTGAAATAAATTTATGTCCACTTTGATGATGAATAGTTATTTCAAGGATTTTATAAAAGGAATAATCGAGAAATAATACAGAAAAGACAAGAAAAGGAATGAGTCAAAAGGATAGGCTAACATGGTGGTGATCCTTTGTCGTAAGAGAATTTCAGAAATAGAAAGGATCATGAATCTTCAAAATATAAGAGTAATCTTTCGAACAAACAACACCGTAGGGTCTAAACGGGTAACAATCAAAGATTCAGTAGGGATAGAGCAATAACAAATTTGTGTATATGCGATCAAATGTGGTGATTGTAATAGTTTATATGTAGGTGAGGCATCACGACAACTGCATGTGAGGGTGAAGGAACACAAGCTTTGTTGGAAGCACACTCATAAATCCTCATATGAGTTGGAAAAACTAAAAGTCAAATCAGGGACAGAATTACACTCAATAGAGTTGGGACATGCAGTTGATATCACTGGCACAAATATCCTCCGGAAAGGCTTTAGTTTGTACAAGAGAAACTAAAATCCAGGACCCTAGACATCTGGAAACCCAAACAGTATTATTAGGGGGGACGGAAAACAAATAACTGTTCCATGACAATTAAAAATTCACAAGTAAACTTGAATGAAGACGAGAAGAGGGATCTCGGCAGCTCTACTATCTATGGAGCATGTAATAACACTGGTGATGACATGCTGAAAATCGAAACCATCATAACGTCAACAGTAATGGACTCCTTCAGCAAACTTGGGTCTCACAGCACAGGGCCCCCGAAATGCAACGTTGACTCCCCAAAACTCCGCAGGTGATTGGACCTCGGTTACCAAAGTTGAAAAAAGCCAGGCGTCACCGTCTAAGAACCTGAGTATCCAAAGTATTGTAGCGAAATCAGCTGGTGATTTGGCCACACAATGCTAATCAGACAGGAATATCTGAAACTTGGATATCTTCTCAGTTTATGGGCCAGGAGCTAGCAGTACGCGGGATGTCTTTGTTTCGCAATGACAGAAGAAAAGGAATTGGGGGTAGAGTAGCCTTATACTTACGATCCTGCCTGGAGGCACATCAAGTTCACAAAAGTCTACCAGTCTTGATGTGTCCGTATAGTGCTCAGTAAGATTGTCTACGACCTCGAGGTGTCTATTTGGAGTCACCTACAGGAAGCCCACTTCTGACATCGAGTACGAGGTACGAGTATTAGTTCCTCTTCTTTTCTTGATTTACATAAATGATCATCTACAGCAGTTACCGTCTGACTTATTACTTTCTGCTGGTGATGTGGAACTTTGGAGAGAGATACGCAACCAAGAGGATTTACTGGCTATTCAGGAGGATCTGACTCGACTTCAAAGTGTAGAGTAGTCCATCTCAGACATGTTGCAGACTAATAATTAGAACTTAGGAAACTTCTCTCTAGAAGTACCTGAAGTTGAAAATGATTTAGGAGTGCTGGTACTCTACGATTTGAAGTCTTACGCGAACTGTGACAAAAATGCCTTTCGAGCAAACTTTGCACTGGCAACACTGAAGCGCCTTTTTGGCTAGTTTGACGGTAGAAATTTCCACACAATCTTCAACGATTTTATTCGTCCCCATTTACAGTCTAGGAAGCATGGTATATCATCCCTCACTTCAAAAGGATAGGGAAACTCTGGAGCGTGTCCATCGGCAAGCCACGAAATCAGTCCAGGGACTCAAATTTAAGCCCTATGAAAGCGCCTTCATTCACTAAACCTGTACCCATTAGAGTATAGACGTCTTAGAAGTAGCCTTCTAATGGCTTGCAGCATCCTTAACATCTATGGAAATCCCCTTAAACACCTACTTAAGTTTAGCTCCAACGCAAACCTAAAGAATAACACCCAGAAACTAGAGACACAACACAACAGAACGGGCTGCAGACAAGACTTCTATTCCCTAAGAGTTGTCAACTGCTGGAATTCATTCCCGGATGAGCTAATTCAAGTGACTTCCAAGGAGTCCTTTGAAAGGCAACTTGACATATTCTCAAGGACTAAGGATAATATTTTATTATAACTTACCAATTTCTTTTTTCTATTATCGTTAATATACCTAAGTTCCTTCCTGGAGGTATTGGTGATCCACTGCTATTAGACACGGGAGCCCATTGAGCGAAAGCTACTTTTATTTCACACACAACCATTTGAACCCCATTTAATCTATTACTTGGACCAGATTTCCAAGCAAAACGTTGAACTTAAAATTCAATCGCAGAGGATTTTACAAACATGACTGTCGTTCTTAATATCCTAAATTAACACGGCTCCCAACAACCGTAAAACGCTGTGTTCAAATTTAGATGAAATTCTTTATTAATAGGTGGTGGGGTTGATCATTGTAGTCTTCGGGCTGACCTAAACGAACTAGCTAGATGATCCTAATGTCGGGGCTCAGAAATTGGTTCTAGAAAGTGTGCTAATGCAGGCCGGACACGGCGATATTTACCAGTATACTGTCAACCGTACATCGCTTCAAATCTTACAGGTACGAAAAGGCTTAGAAGTAACAACTGGAGACCGTAATTCAGGTTTTGAAGTGTTATGGTCACTTCATTCGTCATTCAAACACTTTGACGAGGACATGTTTAGGGTTTACACCCAACCTGTATGAGACCACACCTAGAGTATTGCATCCAAGAAGCTGGTCCACTTCTTATTGGGGATGCTGACACATTAGGGAGTGTCCAAAGTCTAGGGACAAACCTAGCAAAGGGTCTTTCCAAACTTCATTTCAATGAGCGTCTAAAACGTCTGAACAGTTTCCCCTTAACTTTTCGTTCAACGCGAGGTGACCTTATATTGGCATTCCATACCCTCAACAACACGTCCTATCTTTTTTATCACTTCAGGACTAATCATCTCCAACGCTATAGGAAGAAGCTTCAAAAACAGTTACCCAATAAAGTTAGAGTTCCGTTTTACTCACTGTATAGTAAATAACTGGAACGCCTTACCCGAACAGATAGTATCAGCTTTATCACTGAGCATTTTAAAGGAGGAGCTGAATTTCTATTGGGAAACAAGTTCGAATGATCCACACAGATCCAGTGACCTAGAGTCCATTTTACTGAAGGATGAAGTAGTGCCTGAATTGAACCTTCAAGGTCGTAGTTGCCTTGTATTGATAATGTTTCAAACCTCGAGTATATTGGGAATGAAATAGCGATTTGATTGTTTTTACTTTTAGCGTAGATCTTCGGCACATGTAGGTGTTTGCACAAAGACTAGTGAAAATTAGTTCTAAAGATAAAAGTGTGTCAGCAACGCTTCTTTAGAGTCAGAATTCTGACACTCCCTCTTTAAAGAGGGAATAAAATAACTTATAAATCCCTTCTGGCATACTAAACGCATCCAAGTTCGTTTTGATTTTCGTTAGGCAGGAATGTGATTAAAGATATTTCGGTGTCAATCGCAGTTATGGTCAATGTACTGTTAACAGTACAGTTAGCAACCCAAGAGAACGTACTTTCGAGTTAGACACAAACATCTATTAATTTTAATTTCCATGTAAGTGTTCGTCTTAAGCCGTACCGTTGTTTGCTGTTCGTTTCAGCATCTTTGTATTTGCTTCCTAGTAGCTGTCATAAGAAGCACCAACCACGCTTTAGAAGTAATGACTAAGATTCTATGTTTCATATTTACAACTGGGTTGTAAGCCGTTTTGTGGTGATATGCTAGACCGCCTTTTTACAACATGAATATCTTTCCCTGAAAGAACGGTCATATTCAGTTTATGAGGTCACTTATATTAGAATGATCTATATGATTTTAGGGAGAAGGATAGTTTTTGACCAGCCATATCAAAAGACAAAAAAACCCCAACGGACATCGTTATAAACCTGTACCGACTATGTTGACTCTTGTATAACTCGTACCTTAGTTGCCTTCTGGCTCGTTATGCGATATTGATGATGCTTAACATAGGTGGGAATAAACTAAGATATTACATAAGTTTATAAGGTAACTAGCGATTTTTTAACCCTGTTAAAATGTGTGCTTATGTCCTTGTTTACAGAGATAATGGAAAGCAGTGTTTGTGAACCCTGTATTTGATGTCTTAAAACTGCCTACACTACTGTGGATCTGTCCACTGTTTATCTCCCTTTGAATCCTTCTACTGTTCTTCATCCAGTCGTCATAAGTATCGTTCTTATTTGTTTGTTTATTTACTCAAAGATTCTGGTACATTAGGGCACCAATAATTGTGTCATACAAATGAAGTGATATTTTGAGGTAAAAGTTGAAAAGGGTCGTAAAACTAATATATGTGAACAGTAGTGGCATTTAATTAAATATACAGCTCCTTTTAAAAAAAACTACCATCATGAAAGATCGGTTGATGGAATTCAGTCCACTTTTATCAAGCGTTTCATAGAAAACGACATCAGGGTCAGCATTCTTTGAATCTTCCCGTTTCTGTGGTCTTATCTTTCGTGCGTCTACCTTTGTTAGTGGTTTGCCTTATAAAAACTAGTTCAATATAATGTATTATTACGCATTTGGTTGTACATCACACCTGTCATCATGATGTGAAAATATCGAATTCCCTGACCTTTAGCAGCCATGCTAACTTGAACTTTAGAAATGAATGCTTTCCATCTGGATGTTTAACCTTAACTATTTTCATAAAGTCTCCCAAAATACTGTTTGTTTCTACTTCTATGCGAAATAACAAAACTTGTTCTGTTTTTGTTGGTAAAAACTCAACATTTTTTTCTGTTAAAAATATAGGTACTTAATTGTTAATTTTCAATATGACATATTCAAATTCGACAATACCAACGCCGTGTTTGGATCTTGCTATGGAGGGTGAGAGATTTTGCCGTGAAGGGGATTGGAATAAAGGCATATCTTATTTTCTTAAAGCACTAGCAATCGGAACGGATGATCTTAGTTGTCTATCGGTCGTTTATTGTCAGTTAGGCAATGCTTATTTCTACCACAAGATTACGCCAGAGCCTTGGAATATCATCGTTGGAACCTTGCTCTAGCTAGGTAAAACATATCTACCAATATTTATCGTATGTATTCACATTCATTCTTAGTTATTGTAAAAATGGAAACATATTAGTAAAGCTTTATAAACCTGATCTGCTTGTCATTTCTTGACAAAATATAACAATAAATTGGGGAAAGCTGATAAAAGATCAGAAATGTCATACAGGTCTTTATATACGTGTGCTTTTTACTTTTTTTAAGGTTTATTTTAAGTCAGTATTTAAGACATCGATTTTTCTTCAAGGCAGTGAAACAAATCTAAAAAGCAGTAAATACAGATATTCCCATGAGCTTACGTAAAAGTACTGATATACAAAACGGTCAGAAAATCCATCAACTCTGATTATATAATGGTTTAATAAGATATGGAAACTGTTTTATTGATCTTTTTCATAAGCTTTATCAACATTAAAAGTGGAAATATGTTAATTGAACATTCATTGTCAATGCACTAACTGTTCTGTACATTAAATCATGATGGAGCTTTATGAAAATTTCATCCCATGTTTATTTGGAAGGTATATTTAGGAGATACTATGTTCTAACCTTGGTGCAGTTCACATGAATAAATAATTCATAAGAAAATCTTATATGTAGCACTCAATCGACTACATCATTGAGGTATAGAGATACTGTCCGAGCATCCATGAGTTTGATTTTTATCTATTTCGCAAAAATTTTTGGACTTTTTCGATATAGGAATAACCCATTTGTACCTTCAGATTTCAACCAATAAATTCTGTCCATAAACCGACGTAAATATTTTCGTAAATGATCACCAATTCACACATCTCATGTACATCCGAATTCCTGATATTTGTCAAATTTTCTCCAGGTATTGTTTCAAGAAACGATGGTTAACAGATGATCAGACATGGGAGCAGACATTAGTACTTTGTATTTGTGTCTTAAGGTGTTTGCTAACTGACTGACTTAAGGTGTTTATTTTATTCTTTTAATTTTATTGCGAAATATCAACAACTTTCGTCACTTTTGACTTCATTTATCTGTCATAAGTTGATGGTTCTAATTTGAAGAAAATCTGGAACTATTCATCACAAATATGAAGAAAGTGGAGTAATTATCAAAGTTTTCGCATCTTGTAGGTAAATTGTATACCTTTATAATGTACATACAGACCATTATTATTGGTGTACAGTCTACCATAATTTGTTTTCCTTATAGAAGAATGGGTGATGGTATTGGTGAAGCATTCGCAACAGGAAATCTTGGTAATACACTTCAAATGATGGGCAAATATGACGAGGCAATAATGTGTTTCACACATGAATTAGCAATTGCTAGACAGTTAAATGACAAGGTAAATCTTTTGACTGGTAATTCTAATGGCGTTACAAAAATTGCTACATCGTTCGATTTCTCTGTATTTATAAAAGATGTTTAACCTGAAAGATCATCTTTCTGCATAAACAAATAAGCTTTGCTAAATTGTAGTTATGTTAATCCGCGATTTTAGTGAGGTAGCCGTCTTGGTTAATTTTGGTTTAAAGCTAAACCCTACTTTCAACCAATCAGTTATTAGTTTAAACGATATTCCACGTAATTTGGTTTTGTCTGTCGGATATTATCAAGAATCAAGACATGAAACGTTTGGTTCAAAGCTGAGCACTTGGTTACTGGGTATTATCAATCCCTTTTTCATATATATTTGTCAACAACAAAAACCATGGACATCTAAATTATCTGGGTAGAAACACTGTGATTGTTTCTCATGTTCTATGCTATTTAACTACCCTAGAGGCAGCGTAGCGTGATCACTACTTCACTTCGGTTGAAATATGATATAATACTAATATATATAAACGGAATTTCTGATCCGAATGTATATACTTTTGATCGATAGAATTCGATTAGCATAAAAGTCTCAAAAATAAAATAAATTATCACTACACAGTAGTCAATCACTGCAAACATATCTGCCTTACAAGAAGCAAATCTCTTCCAAAATATCTAAATGGTAATGTCTCTGATAAAATGTAGAACTATGGGATGTGTGAATTCAAACATTTAGATGAGTTTCACTTTTTTCGATATATTACAAATACTTCGTGCTTTTCAGGGTTTTATCTTGACTGATGCCAACTAATTAGTATTTACGAAATTGTCTTTTCTTTTGCTAGCAAACTATTTTCTTCATAACACGCTGTAAAGGCACTCTAATGGGTCTTTGGTTAACAAGCATTCTTGTTTATAGGTTTGAATTTGTTATGTATACACTTTTGTTTTCTGGAATAAGGAATATTACGCTTATCAACTAATAATGAGAAGCGTAAGAACGTGACTACCGAGCGACAACTGCCAGTGAAATTGAATCTACTGATTTGTTTTATTCACAAACACTCCCTTAAGTAAGATCAGCCAAAATGACTTGACAATTAACCACATACGTAGGTTATGTTCGTCACGGATTAGTCTCAGTTGGAGTTCACAACTAGCGTACATTGGACAATTGTTTCTTCATAGCGAGATCGAACCCAGGATCTTCAAACCTTATGGTGGACGCTTAACAATTAGAACCACTGGATTGGCGTTCAACAGTGCAATCCAAACTTTACGATGTAACGTGTTGATAATCCAATGCAATTCGCTAAAACTTTCACTCTGGAAATGACAACTATTTTATTAGAACTTCAGGAAATCATCTTGAAGTAATTCATTATTGAACTGTCTATTACAGTTTAGTTGTAGAGGTCTTATTGAGTTTGGTTCAACATGTAGATTATTTTCATCGCATAATCTTATTCACCGTCGTCTCCGTCTTCTTGTTACACAAAAGACAAAATGAACATGGTTTAATGAAAATACATAAATTATAGATTATTGGTATGAAAAAATCGCTAGATAATTACATAGCCAAATACTAAGTGATTAGTAAGTAATCAAAGTTTCAATGGATATATTTCATGATCATTTAATACTTATCGAGATTAATGATATTCCATTAACTTGAGATTATTATATCACACAAAACAGTTGGATATTATTTAGATTACCTAGTTCTCTTAATGCCTAAACTGTTTTTCTTTTATTGTCATAAGAGAAAAATATTTTTCATTAAATGAATTTTATTTAAATTAGTTCTCATCATTATGTGATATTAATGATGCTTGTTAATTCATATGTTAAACAGTAAAGTTTTAGAATTGATCGGAGATAAATATCTCACAAAATTTTTGTTATTGTTGTTAATAATTGGTTATGTAGAGAACAGAAGCTGGAGCTCTATACAATCTTGGTAGTGTATATCAAGCTAAGGGGAAACAATGGCTACCGGATTCTGGTGAATTTCCGGCTGATGCAGTTAAAGCACAAAGAAAAGCTGCTGAATATTACAAGTAAGTATATATATATTTCTTATTTTCTTCATCTCTTCCTATATGTCTATATTAGGGGTGCTTATATGAAACACTTACAAATGTATTTAGTTCTCAGTCATGTTTGTGTTCTAATTTCGGAATAGCTTATGTTTATTGTAGGTGGAGTTTTGTTCTCTTAGCTGGATGGTTTGGTCCTGGAGCTTTCATTGTACTACTGAACAATATCATCAGCACAAACTTAAGGTAGTTTATTCGAAATTACAAATGAATTTGGGATTCTTCTGTTACAAAATAAGATCTATGCAGACTATTAGGTAGACTGGACGACTTAAACATAACAGTGTAACAATAATCTTCCAATCGATGGAAATAAATGGAACCAGGAACTTGGGAAAGAGGTCGATATCCAAAGAGGTCAAGATTGTTATAGAATGGCTCTGTTCTTATGGCAACAAAAATGAACCTGAGGCACACAAATAATAAACTAACATTGAGAAGAACCAAACAAATAACAAACACCTAGGATCGTTGAGGAAAAATGAGCTGGAAGAAGTTACTATCCGCTTCCTTACACTCCGAAATTATCACTTATTAATAGAAACGAAGACAAAAAACTAATTAAGGTGGAGTCTCTGATAGTTTGATATTTAAATCGAGTCCATTTATATTATGCATTGAAATTATTTATAATAATTAACTTGAAAAATATTGTGATTCAACGCTTAGTGATTTGCAATACGTTCATATGTGATTTCAGTGATGTGGATTATTTACTACTCAAATATTAGCTAGGTAGTAACTGTTGCACGATAGTTTTTATTATGTTCCATAGCCTAACAGTCTCAGGTCTTAATCAATTACAGAATGAGTGACTTACACGCCGATTTCCTCTAGTTGCCTATGATATTTTATCATACTTATTTTGTGTTCATATTCTGTATATAAGCATGCTATTTTAATACATGAAAAGCCTACTCATCTGAGTAGATTAATTCAATAATACGGTTTTGTAAGCAGCTATCACTCAGCCACATTTTCATATCAAATGTCGGTCACCATTCTTCTCATTCCTTTTTGACAAAAAATTCGTTCCGTCAATCACTAAAAACCTTCTCTATAATGATGACGGCGGGAATGGAAATTGATTTTGGAAATAATTATTATAACTGAGTGGAATTCACCGTTCTTTCACAATTATTGAATAACATAATGAAATGGCTTGAGTTATCTGAAAGTAAGAAAATTAGCATAAATCGACCATAAAAGTTTAAAAATACCTTTCTCTACTTTTTTAGTCTTTGAACGTCCTATGTATGTTTTCTATTCACCGTTTACTTGTCTTTTGATTCTGTATTGTGTGCAAATATCTTTCACCTTTTGTGTTGATTTCCTATTTTCTGTACGGCTTCTAATGTTTATCAACTGAAACTAATGCGATTTCATTGACACCATGATCTGACCTAAGTTAGACGTTGAATGCAAACCAGGAAGCACTGAGCAGCTATTTCGTCCTAATGTAAGACGCCTCAGCAGTGCGCATTTGTGACCCTCCGGAGATCGAACCCAGGACCATCAGTCCCGTGGTGAACGCCCAACTTCTAGACCGTTGAGCCAAAATCCGATTGTTCGCATGTCTAATACGATTTTATACAAAGCTATTTCATTATCTATCTTCTAATATAACTTTTGGTAGTATTGTGTTCTCTAAGCTGGATGTTTAAATTGTGAACCTGCTTCAAGTAGAAAAAAAGCCTTCTAATTATTCCACAGGTATCAAGTCATTTTGTTCTGATGACGTTGTTTCTAAATGATTGTCGTTTCAGATTTTACCATCTCTATGTGTCTTTGTGTTCACGTTGACTGTTTTTTTAAATTGCCCTTCGGTCATGTGATTTATTGATTTTTCCTGCGTATATTTATAAATCGCATTTATATATGTATGCCTTTTGACTCCAGGTTAACTTAAATACCATGCTTATAGAAATTCTCTGACATTATTAGAATCATATAGATCCAGAATTTTGACATTTTCTGAATCAAGTTTATGTCAATAGTTGTCTGTGTGCACTAATTAAATGTGTAGTACTTCTCGACTTTACATTGTTACTGTGTTATTGCATGTCTAGGTGAAAAGAACCCCCCTTTTTTATTTCAGTGCTTCTTACAGTTGAGAAAATTTATTTTGTAGATAATGTTGCATTTGTTATCACTGTTGTACCTACTAGTTCATAGATCTACAATTTCCTAACCCCTCAGGAAGTCTGAAAGTCTAATATTGATTAGGGGATTTGTTTAAAATCGACTGAACTTCTAATTAATACGTATAAATATATTTACAATGTCGTTGGGTGGTAGACAGAACACTTTTGAGCGGTTGGAGGGTAGTCAGAGGAACACCTTGTACAGAGGTTTCATGCACGTTGAGACATCAGCAAGACACATGCAATATTACAAGAACTGATGATCCCTGTGTGATTTAAACCTGCATTACTCAGCTTCACAATCAGAGACGTTATCATTGAACTATTCATGTCATGACTGATTTCTGTAGGACTGAGACATATTTACATTCAGCTATAGAAATTACATTTGAACATTATTAAACGATAAATGAAAGAGTTCTCTAAAGATAGCAAAAGAGAATGAACAACTCCTTACTCAGTAGTGTGTACTTACTGTCGAAGAACGCCAAATTGTTAAGAAATCCGTTAACAGATGCTTCTTGTTTCGATTCATTTTATTCATCAGCTGATATATTAGTCTAGATAATAAAAAAACAGCCACCTTCAAATAGGACTAATCTTTAAAGATCACTTAACTAAAAGTATTACGAATGATTTTGTATATTTAACTATAATCTGTCGATATTTATTGTTTAGGTTGTATATCAACTATGAGTATATATCGAGATACATTGAATTTTGGACTTATGAGTATTTAAATATTTTGTAAGACACTTATACTGCAGTGAACGAGAACTCGAATAGGAAAAACCAGTTTATTATTAAGTGCAAAATTACACAGTGGCTTAGTAAAATATATCATTTGCACAGCTTATTTGCCTTGTCCTTCATATACTCCATTATTCCTATAATTCTGTTGTTATTTCGATTGCTCTCCGATTTTTTTCTTGTTCTCTTCATCTCATTCTTCTGTTGCTAGGCCACCCGCTTGTTTACATACATACTACTTATATCTGTCAGTCTAAGTAGCATACGCCACAATACCAGTTGTTTCCTTTCTTCTGTAAACTGATAAACATATATATACGCTAAATTTTCCTTGTCTTTTTAGTTTTATTGTTCCATACTGTTTGACTACAGTTAATTTGATATTCAACTACTTTATAGTGATGTATTTGACTTTAAAACATTAGACTACCTTATTTCTATTTATTACACTGTTATAATTTCTTAATATCCGGGTGAAATATATCATGAGCTTTCATGTACCAGGTTCAACACAATATATTTCAGATTTCATTTATTTAAATTTTCGTATTGTTTTTTTTTCTATGTAGAATGGGTCTTGAATTAGTTCGAGCACTTGGTGATCGACCTGCTGAAGGTCGAGCTCTTGGTAGTCTAGCAAATGCTTACTATTTACTGAGTAATTTCACTGAAGCAATTGAATGTTATAGAGAAGTATGTATTAGCTATGATCATTATTTTTACTTCCTATAATTGTTTGAGAGTGATATATGATCTTTCCAAGAAAAATACTCAAACTGAAATAATTAAATACTTTACTTTTGGGAAAAAATTGAATATATCAATATGACTCGTTTGTGTAATATACCTGTTATATCTCCATTCTCACTGTCCCAAAGCATCCTTATAAGTTAAATCCTTAGGTTAACTTGTTATATTTAAAGCTTTATCTCCTGCTAAACCAGAAATTAATAGAGTTTATCCAGAAAGAGAGAGAGAGTGGAAATAAGTGTATGATCAATAACAACGCGATGATAAAATACGCATACTGAACAACAATAGAAAATGCAACAAATGTAAATAATTGGAAAGTAACAATCATGTATATTTTAAGAAAATTACATTAATTCATCGATAAGAAGCAGATGATGATGGATATTGTTTAGTTCTGTTCATAATTAACAGCCATACATGAAACGACATTATTTTTTTAAATTGATGTATGGAAATCTTGTCCTTAGACAACTCACATAAAGCATCACTACAGATTTTTTCTTTAACTAATCTGATAAATTCGTAAAGTACAAATACTGTCCATGTCATACTTCTAAATGTAAAAGAATTGATATAAATTTTTTAAGTAAAGTTGAATAGGGGTTAGTTAATGAACTCAGAACGTTCGTTCCGTCATATTTGAGACTCATTTGGTGAATATATTTGCGTACTTGTTGATGTTCACTCCAGGACTCGAACTTACTGCCTTTCGTTTCATACGAGAAGAGTTAAACACTTACCTATTTGAACTCAGTAGCTAAACTGATATGTTGGGTGTTTGAGGCGAAAGGTGATGGGTTCAAGTTCCGGCATGAACATCAACACTGCTTAACAGATATATCTAGTTGGCGAGCCCAAAATAAGGCGTAACTCATGTACTGGATTCCACTGCTAACCGATATTCAACTCTGCTTAAAAGTGCTTGTGACGTAGTGGCAACATTGAGGCTCTTCGCTCCGGATACACATATATTAACAGAGACTAATCAATTGTGATCCGTAATATCAAAACTGGAAGATTTAAACGTTTACAAATGAAACATGGTTAACATAATTACTAATCTATCTATGTTTATAAAAATCGAATAACAGAATTGTAAGCATAGGCTAAATGAAGCAAATAGTGATTATTAGTGTATGTGTCGCGTGGGAAAATTTGATGGTGGTAAACTTTCAAAACCCTATAATGAACTTTTAAACGTTTCCTGTGGTTATTACATTTGTCTAAAAAAATTGTATATTGCACTATACTAGTCCTATACACCTGTTGTATTTCCAGCTTGGCTAGGTAATTAATTTACTTAAAGTAGTCTACTCGCACTAGCATCTCATATATAACATGTGATGGTGAAACAGCATACAGTCTGTTAAGAGTCTCCTGACCTGCACAGTTAACTCGCGAAATATTGCAAAACCTGTAGTCCTTTGGGTTCAGTACATGCTGAGGCTGTGAATAGAAAGTACCAAATAGTTTTCAACTAAGATGTGAGACATCTGTCAAACGCTTCTGCATTATTTCGTATTCATAGGTTACTAGTACTCTATCATAGATAGCTTCAGAGGGTTGGTCGTATATGTCGGAATCACCAAGTAAGCGATGTTAAGGTTAAACTCAGGATAGTAAGGATGGAAATCGATTGGTGAGGTAATGAATATTTATCGATTGAGATTATCGCGATATGTATTATGCATGTCCAACCGCTGCTCTCTACCTCAGTGGATAATGATGGCTGATGTAGAAGTGATTTGGAAGAAAGCTGGGGGTAACTAAACCAGCATGTGAGATCAGTCCATGAACTTGATGACTGTTGAAGTGAACTGTGTAGACGGGTGTCGACTATTTGATTGGTGTCCTTCCGATTAACATAACCCATGGTTAGAGTCTGGTTGGGTTTGGTCAAAATCGTTTTCACTGGGGCAGATCCATTCGCTCTTTGTCTTCCTTTTAGAACCTGAGTTTTCAAAGTATCTCGAAAAATCCCTTTACTCTACGAATACACATTTCCCTCGAATCATATTGTCTATCCCTAATGCATTCTACTATCACTTATACTGCTATAACCTATGCTACTCTGATATCTAGTTGTGCAGATGTGGTGTGGTAACTTAAACCAGTCGACTGATATGTCAGGTTCTAAGTTGTGTATGGTTTACTGATGTTGTATTCATCACAAATAAGTCTCAGTTAAGCTACCATTGAAAATAAAGAAGCGCTGGATAGCTGTTTAGTCATATTATGGGATTTCTCATCTACTTTGTGCTTTCTGCCAGGAGTCAAATTTAGGATGTTCAGGTCTTGCAATGAATGTTCAATCATTAAATGAACCTGTAAATCATCATTCACCAGTACAATTCAAACTCTAATCAGTTTGCAATATTTATTGTGACCATCATTCAGTATAGTTTGATATCTATCTATGATTAAAAATATCTTCAAAAATTGAATTATTTCATTATACTTATAAAGAAAGTTTCATATATTTAATCGTTGATTAATACATTGAATAAGTGTGGAATATAATTGTTTGGTCGGAAAAAAAAAATCGACCAAAAAGAAATGAAAATTTTCACATTGGAGTTAGCATTACCTCAACCACTTTCATTACTTTTTATTCATTTCATAATTTTTTTTCTCTCCTTCTTTTAAATATCTACTTGGTTTAGCGTTTAAAAATTGCTAAAGAATTTGGTGATCTAACTGCTCAACGACGTGCTCATAGTAATATTGGTAATGCATTTATATTTTTAGCTGATTTCAATGCAGCCGTTGAACATTATCGGTAAGATTGTTTTATATTCATTCGAAAGCAAAATTATAATTGTTTTAAAGCGAAAAATCTGTTTTATATTTTTTATTTCTATCAGCAGAAAATATTAAGGTATAAGAATTTGTTTAAGATTTTTATTTATTATTCCTCCTGTCCTAATATTAATGATAAACTAAATTATATTTATAAGAAAAATATAAGTGGAACTGTGATGGATGCTACTTGTGTTGACAAATATTAGTAGTATTTAATATCAACCAGAAGTGGAATGCATGACAACAAAAGATTGAGAAAATCGAATTGAAGAGTACAAGACTGTAAACAGAGATTAATCTTAATAACAACAGGAATGAAGAAATGTTAAAGTTTGTGAGAGACAACTGACGGAAGATGTGCAAATGAAGTAATTAATGTATGTTTTTCATATTTTACCGAGGCACTGTAATTTTGCACTAAACAATTTGTTGGTTTTCCCCAATGATCGGGTAAATTTTGTATTCTATATTAAGAGTTAATTTAAATTTTTTTTTCTATATTTTAGTTCTTAAAATGCTTACAATTGATAAATATATCTGTTGTACAACTTTATACAATAAAAATGATATGATGTATAAGTTAAATTGCAAGAATAAACACTACTAATACAGATTATTTCTAAAACTCTTGTTACTTATTGAGCCTACTTAATATATAATTCAGAGGATATGGTCAAGGATATGTTATGTGATATTTCTGGGTCTGTTTATGCATCATAGGCTCAACCGATACACAGAGATTATTGACTTTTGCTTGTTATGTGCGATCAAGGTCTAACATCGGTGTGTATATGATCAAAGAGTGTGCAGTTTTCTCATCTTCCTCTCCTTCAAAGATCCTGTTATAATCATTGAATCGTTGTCCATACGTGGCATTTCTTTTACTGGTGTCTACGATAATAATATTGAAGCAATGTTGTTAAGATCGAAGAATTCTCATATAGGCTTTAAAAGAAAAATGACTGAAACTTACGAACAAGTGTTTATATCAGGCCTAATTTAATTTTAATACTGATGTATCTTAATGAGTTTTTTTATCATGTTTATTCTTATTCAGTAGAGTTACTGAAGGTCTTCAGTAAATAGTTTAGTCGCTGAAAAATTCCCATTATATTAAAACACAATTATATGAACGAAAAATATTCATTTCAATAATTTCTCATCAGGTTCTACAATTCATAAATCTAAATTAATAATCCATAAAATTGGTCAGATTTAAGGCAGAGTAAATCATTTGGAAATTGTAATATGTGAATTGAGCATTGTTGTTTGTTATATAAAATCAATTCAGATAGTTAATGTTGGGGCTGTTTAATATAAAGTGTTAACTTGAATCAGTTTATAAGTGAAATGAAATAGTGCGATAAATGATCAGAATAAATACGGTCAACATGAGGTGAGAGAAAATAATGGAATAAAAGTCGGAAATTACGTAATATGTAGAATAACATGAGTTAGGTCAAATATAGTAGATTTAGGGGTGGATACTGAATAAATTTCTCAAAAAGGTTAACAAGTGTTATTATTATTATTTTCTTTTTATCCTTCAGTATTCATTATATTGTGTATAAGTGACATTAACAGATCCACCTAGAGATATTCGATTCATAGTCCATCTAGAGCTTGGCACAAATGCACATTAGCTAAAATTGCCTTGCAACGTCAATACGATAAGATGAAATCAACATTATAAACCAAAGAGGTCATATCCCAGCAACCTCAGTTCATAAAGATATCTAACCTCATTAACCGATTTGCTGTCTTTGCCTAGCACTCTACACGTAAACTCAACATTTCTCTCTCAACCTTTCCACGATGCACGGGTAATATTTCTAGTTCACTGATCAGAAACTTGCAACCTACGCATGTCGTCTACTTTTATAAATCATGCTTCATACCCAGAGAGCTATAGAGAGCGGGTACTATTCAGTATATTCGTCCTTTGTTTTACAGATGGCCTCGATTCACATTACATGATCGTATACATTAAAACCGTGTACACTAGTCTGTACTTGATATATGGTTAATGAGGAGGGAGTTAGTGTATTTTATCTGTTAGGATCAGGTCTATGTCCACCCTTTTAATCCACAATTTTCACACGAGAGCCAGTGATAATACTCGATTGATCAAAATCACGTAGGTGAAGAGAACTCAGAATCTGCTGGTTAAAATCCGAGCATTTTAATTACGAAGTCACCTCTCTACGCTTGGTAAATGAGTTACGTAAATAATGTATCTGTACAAACTTTCTGGACCCTAGCAGTTGATTGTAATGTCAAGTGAGATGACTTTTAGGCTAGTTACACCATTAAGTCCATCCTCAAGCATCCTTATAATTGTTAAAACAACGTCGAATTCAACTAACCAACTCATTGTTCAAAATTGTCGCAATTCAAAACAAAATATTGTCAGAAATTAATGCGAAGGAAAACTCAGATATATATTTTAGGAAAAAATGTTTGATGAAGAAAGAGGAGGAAATAAGTACAAAATGAAGCGTTTACTAATTAACTCAAACTAAAGAATAATTTTACTTAAATCTGAGAGAGTGACTTTCAGCTATTCTAGATCATAACGTTTTAAAAAAATTAATTCATTATATATCTTTGATATAAGTTCAGAAGTTCAAGCTTTCCTAAACGATTGTTACTAACTTTATGCTTGAGTTATTTTCTTCTTTCCACCTTCGGTTTACACTGACCAGTAAGACTACTTTTTTTAAGTTTATAACCTCATCAAGTGATTTACCTCATTGCCCACTGTACTCAGTGATACTGTCATACTCAACTATGACTCCAGAAGTACAGATGATAAAGAGATGACTTAGTGGTTAAGAAGTTCAACTCTCAACCACTCATTCACAGGTCCGAATTCCTCTTCACATATTTTATTTTGGGCAACCGGGTGGTATCACTAATCCTAAAAGCCAAGTACATGAGTTTCTGCCTGGTTGGTGAGTTGATAATCAGGCCCACTCAACATTTCTTTCTGAATTAGCTTTATTCGAATTTTATGTCTGTGTGTACTTCTCTGACTAATTTTCGTTATTGTAACTTTTCCCCTCTTTATTACTTCTTTCCGATTTATGATATGTTTTTAAGAGAAGCATTACAATTATCAGTACGTTTGAAGGACACATCACTTGAAGCTCAAGCTTGTTTCAGTCTAGGAAATACATTTATTCTATTAAGGGACCCAAGTACTGCTGTTGTATTCCTACTGAGACATCTCATTATTGCTCGTGGTCTATTCGATCGTATAGGTGAAGGTCGAGCACATTGGTCATTAGCAAATGCTTATACTGCCTTAAAAAGATATGATCTAGCTTTACGTTGCTCTAAACGTCATCGTCGAATTGCTCGTCAGGTAAGCCTTCAGTTGATAATTTGTTTACTCTATGCATTATATGATGATGAACTTCATTTTTCTCATAGTACCAAAATGTTTAACTAGGAATGTTCCTCAAAGTGTCCTATTGATATTCATGGATTTCATCGAAATCATGGAACAATCTAAGTTAAAGCACCATTTAAAATCTGGAAACATTGAACGGCCATCTCTTTCTAGCGTAGGACCCACACAAACAGGCCCTGAGATCTAATCTCGCGCGTAGGATCGTGGATAGAAATCATGATTATGAAGTTTCTTATCACATACCGACTTTAGTTGGACAGCCATTGGGAACCAGGAAGTATTCAGTAGCTCTTCCATCCTAGTGTGAGGTCCTTGACTAATGTACATCCATGACCCTACCAGGTATTCAACCTAAGATCATCAGGGCTCACGGGTAGTGCCTAAGCTTCAGATCAGTGAGCTCCCATCTAATTTTATATATTTCTAGCCGTAAATTCAACAATCTCCACAACACTGTACAATACCGTTTGTGATTATATCTAATGTTGATAACGTAGGTTATGTATAAAGTTAAATTTGAAGTGTCAATCGACTGGTTGATCACCTCAATCAAATCGTTTGTGCATTTTTCGGAAGAAAGTAAATGTAATCGGATAGTAACTTTCACGCAGTTGATTGTTCAACGACGATCCGTAGTGTCGCGATTTGGTCTGCGCACGACCGGTTCTTACGGAATACGACCTGTCAATCTCGGAGTCAAGCGTCTATTGAGTCTTTCATCCGGTTCAGCAACGCTCTGTTGAAAATTATTTCCTGGTACCGATAGTAGTGTGATTCCTCTGTAGTTCCCACGCTTGTTCATATCTCCTTTCTTTGCTATTCGTATGAGGTATCCTTCTTTCCAGTCTGTCTGTGGCACTTGTTCTTCCTCCCAAATCTTCCTCAATTGAACGCGGATCATCTTTGCAGTTACTTCTAGTCCTGACTTTAGTGCTTCGGCTGGTATATTGTTGGGTTATGCTGCTTTTCCACTCTTGATTTGTCTGATGGCCATCTTGATTTCTTCGATCGTTGGTGGAGTGACATGTATATGATGGTCTGTGTGTGCTGCTTCGATATCCGGTGGATTCAATGGAGCTGACCTATTCAAGAGTTCTTCAAAGCGTTCTACCCATCTGTCCCTCTGTTTTTGGATCTCAGTGATTGGCTTGCCTTCTTTGTCCTTAACCGGTTTCTCTGGTTTACTATAATTCCTTGTCAGTTTCTTCGTCGTGTCATTTAGTTGTTTCATATTTCTTTCTCTTGCACTATTTTCCGCTGTCGTTGCTAGCTATTCTACGTATTTCTGCTTGTCGGCTCTGATGCTCTTCTTCACTTGCTTTTTTTGCTCCTGTGTATTTGTCTTGTGTCTTGACTTTCTCTGTTCTTGTTCGTCTGTTGTTAATTGCTGTCTTATTGTTCTTCCGTTCTTGAATCTTACCCACGGTTCCCATAGAGATCCAGCCCTACTCTTCAATTTCCTATTTATTTCTAAATACATAATATTTTACACAAATATAAATTATTTTTAAATTATAAAAATCTTTTTTTATTTAATGTTTATCGTATGTCAAAAAGAGGAAAAACAAGATAAGAAAAAGAATTAAATGGATTTTGTTGTTTCATCATTTTTCATTTTAAGAAAGAAAAGCTGATTTCTATTTTCATCCTCTTCCCATCCTTGTTTTTTATAATGCTTCCTCTTTTTTTCTTTCCTTCTCTCGCTCACTCACTTACACATTGGGTTCGTTTTGACGTGTACAAACAAATATTTAAATTATTTCATCTGGTGGATGAACGAACATACACTTGAATCACTATGTATGTAATAACTTCACACACACTAACACGCGTACCCACAAATATTTATTACGCAATGCGCATATATGTATATATATATTTATAGCTGGGTGATACTACAGGCTATATGACTGCTCAACTGATGATTGGTGAAATCTGTAACTTAATGACAAGTACACAAACAGAATGCTCTACTCTGATTGGTGCTTCTTGTAAAAATGATCAAACGGACTCACAATCAAACAATTCAAATTCAACCATAAATTATTCGTCTGTACAACAGAGTTGTTTACTGGATATAAATAATTCGAAATTAAATGAAAATATTCTGTTCTTAAAAAGTAACCATAAATTACCATGTGGTACAAACAATAACAAATGTTGCATTGATGGGAATAACAATAGTGTCAGTACTAATACTACTACTATTTCTAATCCTACTAATACTATTTTAACAAATAATAGTTGTACTGATATTAATTTTTCAAATAATCCTCCCATTGATCTTCATATTACTGATGGAAGTAATTCTAGTCTAATAAATGGATTAATTTCACATTCATTATTGGATTCCTCTAAAACAATCGATCCCTCTGCAAACACTGACATTGTTAGTAGTCGAATAGAGATAAAAAGTTCACAATCAACTGTAACTAGTAATTTTTCTACTACCACTGTTCCTTCCCCTACAACTGTAACAGCGAATATAATTGATAGTAATCATACTACTGAAAATCATTCACATAAAGTAGTAATTAACAATGATAATGGTAACGATGATGATAATAATCAAGATGATCTAGATTTGGAATTGGATAAAGATTTAGAAAATGAATTACTTGAAAATTATGAAGGTATACTTGAAACAGTGGAATTTGTAACTGTTACAGAAGATGGACAAACTGTCACTTCACAAATGGGTTGTTTGGGTAGGTTTAGATTTACTTTTTTATTGTTGGTAATTTCATTATTTTTGTAAAAATGTTTATTCTGTTGTTTAAAACAACGAATTCCTTTGAAGAAATAGGATAATGCAATGAGAAGACAGAATTAATCCAAATGATGTAATCATACGTGTGTGATAGGAAAAATATTACACTGATATACCACATAGTTCTGATAATCTTCATCTTGTAATTACATTATCCACCTTTTCTGCTGTATGCCTGAACACCGTTTACCACGACGCACAATGCTGACGAGTGTTGGGGATGGTTGGAAGAAAGTTAGGTGTGGCCAAACCAAAATGTGCTTGAAGTCACTAACTTCTAGTCTGAGCCATGTTGGTAGATGCAGACTACTTGGTTGGGGTCCACGTGACTGTCGTAACCAATGATTGGTGACTGTGTGATATGGCTCAGAATTGATCACAATGGAGTAGGTGTATACACTCTCTGTCTTCCCTTTAAATATGAGATTAAAATTGCTTTATATCTTTCTTTCTACGAACTAATTCTTTCTTCCTGTACTACATCACTACCATTGAAGTGACTACCTCTATGAATTTGGTGTTCATCTTGTTGTGCTAATGAGGTGTGACCACTCGGACCGACGCATATATGTGCTTGGTCCTACGTTGTAGTTGACTGAGTTTTCTGTTGCTATTATTGTTGTAACATATGAGTGCTGAATCGGTTAGTCTGTTGACGATGAATTTCACTGATTGATTTTATGTGATTGTGCTAGTAAGCCACTGAAAACCAGGTGGAGGTCTGGACAGTGGGTTGTTGCTAATTCGAAACCCTTCAGCTGTTCTTATCCACGACCATACTAGAAAGTGCTTAGTTTATGACCTTTACTTCTTGTGACAGGTATGGTACCTTTATATTCCTACTAATTTCGCATGAATTCCATACACAGACCTTACCTAACCAAAACGTTCGAAAAGCCAACCGATTTGCTTTATGCTGTTATGACTCAATAACCCACATGATATTGTCCATCAATTAAAAGACCACAACCCATTGTAAATAAGTAATCATAATTCATGCATGATTAGGTCATATTATGATACAGATATACAATTACTTAACCTATAGTTTATAAACGGACCAATATACTTATGTCACAGTCTCTACATTGGCGATTACCAACTGACTGACAGGAGTTACAGTTTGCGGAAGATATTAGCATTTCCCTTTCAGTTCTGTATAATGGACTAATTGTTTATCTGAAAAGATTTCGTGGGAATCGGTCTAATTTGTCAGTTGTATTCGTCATAAATTAATCTAGGTTGGAATACCATTTAAAACTAGGGGATGCTAGATAGTTGTTTCGTTTTAGTGTATAACTCAGCTATCCACATTCAATGGTTCTAATGGTTAGGCGTTCACCTCTTAACATGGAGGTCCTGGGTTTGATCCTTGATATGATCATCAATGTAAAGTGCTACTGGGAGTCATATTATAATGAAACAACTGTCTAGTTCTCATTGGTACCTCAGTATATAATGTGTACAAGCTATAGAATAATTATTTATCATTCATATATTTTATTTTCATCCAATCAAAACCTACAACAGGCATGAAATATTACTGAATTAGGTTGCTTCTTTTACCAGAATTCTCTCATAGTTTGAAGAGAATTTTCATTATTAACTGGCATCATTTGTTGTTGTAGAAGATCTTAGCTTCAATCAGTTTCTTAAAGCCATAGTTCCACACTATTGAAGAATATTAAACTATGACCAAAACAATTGTTAAATATCTCCTACCTGTCACGAGTTCTTCAACTGTATGACTTTTCTTGATAACCCACTAATTATAATAATTATTATTTAGTATCCTGTAGTTTGTACAAAATCGTTTAAAAATAATTATGTTACATATAAAAGTATGATCATAACGGTAATAAAAATGATATATATGGATAGAAAATTGATACAAATTATAATCGACGTTTATATGCTTCTATCATAAGTAAATATACATTGTATGGTAGTAATAATAGTAACACACTGAGATCAAAAGAACAAGTCCTAGTTGAACCACAATAAAAATGAAGAGGGAGAGGGAGAGAGGGGAAAGGAAACGTACTATTGTTTATTTCATACTTCCCTTTTAATTTATTAATCTCTGAAATATATGTATATAAAAATCTACTATTTTAACAATTAGCTATATCCGACTTTGTTTTTAATAATTGTATTTAGCATTTATTAGTACAATTCAAATAAAATGGTGGATGGTAATAACTGTAGTTTACAATCTTACTGATAATCATAAATCTGTCTTTTAGTAAAGCTGAATTGTGCTTAACAATAGAATCCAGGAAACGCTGACTATATCTCAGTTTTAATTTTACCATTAGAACTCTGACATGTTGAATACAATTTCAAAGATTAACGAGCTATCCAAAACCTAGATATATTAAAATGTGTAGGTAAAATAGCTATATCGATTCAATCTACTTAGGATAAAGATAATGGCAACATAAACTGATCAATTACAGTCTTGAATATCAACTTGAAATCTCAAACCATATTGTTTACAATTTCGTAATCGTTGAACGGCTTAATGGTTATCTGAACTGAATAGCTCGGCGGATAACTCATTGGAGTTTGAAGCAAGTTACTAGGTTCGAGTCTTAGTGTGAACATCTAAAGTGGAATGGAGATAAATACGGCTAACAGGTCTCTAGTAGGATGAAATGCATGTCCTGAACTCCATTAAGCCTCACCATTACATCAAAGCGTTAGTTCCTAACTGTTATACTAAAAGTGGTCAAGTACACAAAAACATACTTTAAGTAAACTAGTTGCTTTAATTTCATTTGATTGTAAAATTTCTATCGTGTCTCATATACCTTATTGGTTGGGTTACTTACCAATTAGTTTTATATTATAACACCATAAAAATATACTAATTGCTAATGGGATTTTTTTTTGAGCAATCGATATGAAATTTCTATTTGTATGCATGAGAGTTTTCATTTCACAAACCTTTCAAATGTGAAACAATTTAGATAGTTTCTACCAAGGAATGTTTTCTTGTCATAATAAAATATGGTGTCTAGAAATTTAACAGTAACAAGTAGAGTTTGGTATAATGTGATTTACATGTTTACTTATTTACTACATAGAAGGAATTCTTTTCGCACTTATGTTTATTACGCTGTATCATATTCATGATATCTGTGGTGAGTATTATCCCATCATTATTTCAACTGTACAGTACAGCACATACTCCTGGTTAGCATTCACTACCCAAGAATATGTACATTAATATGATTAAATATGACGCCAAACATCCACAAAAGAAATGAATACGATTACCCTCCCCTCCAGCCTTGATTACTCTCTAACATTGTCCTAAAACACTCGACAAGACAAAAATAGAAAATCAAGAGTTCTATTTTCTCGAATATCGATGAAACAGTGAGAAGTGTGAGAGTTTTAGGACACTAATGTAAAGATGCCGACTTATAAAAGTATCATTTTTATCGGTTTGTTCTGTTCGATGTATTCTGAGAGTTATCAGACTTTTCAGCATTGATCATTTTAACGTCAGACGTCATTACAATATTTTCTATAAAATATGTTCTGTCTGGCATTATATGACTTAGTAAGTAGGCCAATATTCTTTATCTCATTATTATTATCAAACTGGTCACTGATCTAAATATTTTAGTTAGTAGAAGTAAAAATGTAGTAATGAATTTTTCTCGCTTGGATATCATTGTTCGAAATTGGGAAGTTAGCAGACTAGTGGTTTAAATGGTTAAAAGATCTAAGCAACATTTTAATTTCAGTAATATTTGTATGATTGATCACTTATATATTGAAGGAAATAAGTGTATAAATTCATGTATTGGCATGTTTATAAACCCGTAGATCATTATATAGTTCATTTTAGCATAGCAGGTTTATGGGAGATTGTCAACTTTGTAGTTTACGGCGTGAACTGACCTAAACTAGACAGTCCTGGCAAGTCAGAACGTATCGAACAACTGTTTCGTCTATATTACGGGGCTCTTCAGCTGCACAAACCCATAACCTCACCAGAACTAGTGACTAACTTCGAATGAAATTTTTAAGTTTCTAGTAAGAGGGAGTAACAAGTGAAGTTCAACCATGTTGAAAGTAAAAGAGTTATCACCAATATCAATAAAACATCGTAAATTGAGTCGAATAAAAAAATATAAAACCATTAGTCTGAGCTCAGAGGTCTAGAAATAACGTCCTCATTATGAGATTTGAATATCATGGGTTTGATCTCTGGGAGAGAGTTATGAGTTTACACTATTGAGAAGTCCTGTTTTTAGAGAAAAACAGAGCCCCTAATATTTCCTTATTTTTAATGGTTATGTAGCTATTCTTAATTCATTACCGTAATCAATATTTGTTCGATCAAAGACAAACTATATTTTTCTCCTTTTTACAATTTATACTTGAAATGAAGTGTTTGTTTCCCAATAGTTTCATCTCAGTTTTTGTGATCGGGGTACTGTAATTAAAAATTAAGAACGATTGAGATTATTCTAATAAAAACAGGATCCAATGTAAGCTAGATAAGCCGAAGACTGACATACATCACCTTGATATGATTCGTAAGTCACTGGGGGACACCGGGGAAAATTAGGTAATCATGAAAATATAATGTTCAACAAGACTAACTTGGAGTAGAACACCATATATATATATATATATATATATATATATATGATGAAGGGACAGTAAAATAACTGAACTAAACTCAATTGAATAACGGAAAAGTTTAGTGCAAACATGAATTATGAGAAAGTTATCGCAGTTATTCATTCACGCAAGAACTAGCACTTAATATGCGGAAGTTCGGTAACGTGTATTCGCGGAAAGTGACGACAATCCGATTAGTATCACTATCTTGCAACACCGGCTTCGGTGCTTGGACATGTACTACTAATGCCGTCCCAGAAAATTCCACATTGTATTATCTTCCGACACTGGGATTGGTTGGAAAAAGCGGAGATATCGTCAGTTTGTGGCATGGTACCGTGGTTTGAGAGAAAGCTTTACACAACTGTCATCTGTTAGTCATTTATGACTCCAATGATTAGGAGTGGGCTTTAGAATTTGTGACTGAATTAATTGGAGTCGGATGCTTTTTTTTTACTGTCATAGACACTACAATTACTTCTACTAATACTGTACTAAACATTTGGTTAACATTTTGTCATTATTGATAATTTAATGTCATGTGGTTATTGAGGACGACGCACATTCATGTCCAGGTCCTAAGTCGTTTAAGTAACTATTTGACTGACAACTGTTCGTTTATGCTAATATAAAGTACAGCACCTGAAATGCGAATGAGAATTAACGATAAGTTTTACTTACTTTGATTATGTCTGTGCCATTGCCTTTGTGAAGTCCTTTATTGGTCATCGATACTGGGATTAAATGAATAAAAGTTCTAGATAGTAAACCACTTAATGTGTTTATCAATGTTTACCGAATCACGTTGCCAACTATGCTTTTTAAGTCCAATAGAGTAATTTAATGTCTTGCAGACTATCTATTGCATATATCTTTAAGTCTTTACCCAAAATCAGAAGTAGCTAAAGCAAGGTTGCTGACTAAGACCTATGTATTCTAGCCACAGTAACCACCACTACACGATTATCATAATCAGTGGTTAATGTTGTGTGTTAAGACGTAGAGTCGGTCACATTGGCTTATATGCATTCATTATTTCTTTTCCCATAGATCCTGAGTTTCTAAATCATATTTTACTTTTTGATCACACGAATCATTTCTTTTTCGAATTCTATCAGTGACAACGTTACTACTTCCGCTACTCTGGAATCTCACTGTGCTGATGTGGGTCGGCAAGTTTTACGTCGCATACGACTTACTGACTGACTAACCTCCTGGTTGTGATGCTTTCTGTCTACTAATTATTGTTTTGGCTTCGTTCTATGTAGTTATTTAGCTCATATATATTTGAAGCATATTTCATGAAGCTACAAACTTTGTTGATTTTGTCTTGAGGATGGAGTTTCCAACAATTTCTTATGCATTGGATAATATTAAATGATTTATACTGACCAACCACATGATGTTATTTTCCTGCGTTTCTTTTCATATATGACAATACTATCATTAGTATAGACGCGGGTGGTTGTGGAGATAGTTGTATTATGTTATGACTTCTGCCTCTGTCAATTATCACGTGACAAAATCGCCAATCAGAATTCCGACTTCCATGACCTTGTTCCTGTGCTAAACCAATGACATATCAACCAGAACTAGCCGTCTTGCGTCAACTCTGAATCCCTATTAATCCTCAAAATAGTAACTTTCCGCGTAGCCCTGCCTGTTTAGTCCAGAACAATCTCAGACACATGTAGTTTATATACAAGCAGACCAGACCACATCACACCGTAAAATAAAAAGAATTATACAAGATCAAGCCAAGAGTGAGTGTGATGGCTGTAACCAATAGACTGGGAATAACTTAAGAATAAACTCCACCTGTTGCTCTTCTAGGGCTACTGCCGGTCTTAAGCCCGGGTAAAAGAGAGGAGTTGGACATGGGGTCAACAACCTTATCCCATAGAACACAACCTTGCAAAAAACGCTAACCAGATTAAACAAATTAAAAAAATCAAACTCTGCCTATCGAGTTGAAGGAAGAATTATGACGCCTCAAGATGAAAGCCGAGATTCTGCGAAAGTCACGAGGCCGATGTCTCTTCTAACAACCGGAGAAACAATTTTTATAGGTACATGAAATATCTGAACGATGTGGGAAACCGGGTGACCAGTGAAATAGCAACGGAAATGAGGAAATACAACTTTGCGGTTCTTGGAATCAGTGAAACCCATTGGACCCAAGCTGCACTGCGAAAGCTAGATGCAAGAGAGACGTTGCTGTACTCCGTTCACGAAAGGGAAAATGCGTCACACACTTCGAGAGTTGCTGGCAGGTAAATATAGTAAATCAGAGAAACCGATTAAGGACAAAGAAGGCAAGCCAATCACTGAGATCCAAAAACAGAGGGACAGATGGGTAGAACGCTTTGAAGAACTCTTGAATAGGTCAGCTCCATTGAATCCACCGGATATCGAAGCAGCACACACAGACCATCCTATACATGTCACTCCACCAACGATCGAAGAAATCAAGATGGCCATCAGACAAATCAAGAGTGGAAAAGCAGCATAACCCAACAATATACCAGCCGAAGCACTAAAGTCAGAACTAGAAGTAACTGCAAAGATGATCCGCGTTCAATTGAGGAAGATTTGGGAGGAAGAACAAGTGCCACAGACAGACTGGAAAGAAGGATACCTCATACGAATAGCAAAGAAAGGAGATATGAACAAGCGTGGGAACTACAGAGGAATCACACTACTATCGGTACCAGGAAATAATTTTCAACAGAGCGTTGCTGAACCGGATGAAAGACTCAATAGACGCTTGACTCCGAGATTGACAGGTCGTATTCCGTAAGAACCGGTCGTGCGCAGACCAAATCGCGACACTACGGATCGTCGTTGAACAATCAACTGCGTAAAACTTGTCACTATACATCAACTTCCTTGATTATGAGAAAGTATTTGACAGTATGGATAGGAGAACATTATGGAGACTTTTTAAACACTATGGAGTACCTGAGAAAATCGTCAATATCATGCGGGATCTATATGACGGACTACGCTGCAAAGTGGTGCATGTAGGACAGCTGACAGATGCATTCCAAGCGAGGGACGGAGTGAGACAAAGCTGACTATCATCGCCCTTTCTCGTCCTTCTGGTGGTTGACTGGATAATGAAGACCTTGATATCTGAGGGAAGCACGGAATATGATAAACAGTTTAGTTGTAACTAGACGTTTTGGACTTCACAGATGACCTAGCTCTTCTATCCCACACACATCAACAAATGCAGATGAAAACAACTAATGTAGCAGCAGCCTCTGCATCAGTAGGCGTCAGCGTATAAAAGAGTAGAAGCAAGATCCTCAAATACAACACAGAGAACACCAACCCAATCACACTTGATGTAGAAACTGTGGAAGAGGTAGAAACGTTTTCTTACCCATATGGTCAGCATCATCACTGAACGTGAAGGATCTGATGCGGACGTAAAGGCGAGGATTGGCAAGGCAAGGGCAGCATTCCCACAGTTGAAGAAATTATGGAACTCAACAAACTGTCTGAAAGCCAATATCAAAGTCAAAATATTTAACACGAACGTCAAAACCGTTCTACTATACGGAGCTGAAGCATGGAGAACCATCACAACCATCATCAAAAATGTGCAAGTATTTGTAAACAACTGTCTATTTAAGATACTGAATGTCCATTGGCCATATACCATCAGCAACAGCCTACTGTGGGAGAGAACAAACCAGCTTCCAACTGGAGTGGAAATTAGGAAAAGACGCTGGAATCGGTTAGTACACACATTGAGGAAATCATCAAACTGCATCACGAAGCAAGCACTAACTTGGAATCGTGAAGGGAAATGGAAAGGAGGAAGACAAAAGAACACAATTAGCCGGGTATTGTAAGAAGAAATCAAAAGGATGAATGGCAATTGGAAACCACTGGAAAGTATTGCCCAGGACAGTGTTCGATGGAGAATGCTAGTGGGCGGCCTATGCTCCTACACGAGTAGTAACAGGCGTAACTATGTAAGTAACTTAATAATAGTAAATCGTGTAATAATAGCCAATAGGTCAATTGAAAACTTATGATAAAAGGAATACAAATATATGTATAGTGTAGTTATTTAACAATAAGAAATATATATATATATATTTAACAAGTGTAATTCATTCTTGTTAAATGTGAAGCAGCAGCTACTCACCATTGGAACTGGTTGATGGTTTTGCATTATTTGGAGTTGATTGGTGTTGGGAATGTCAACCATTCTAAAGCAGCCCAATGGTCTGAGTATTTAACACACGACGCGAGATCTGAAGACCCTGGCTCTGATCTTCGATGATGTTTGTAGATGTACATTTTCGAAGAGTACCATATTAGAACGAAACAACTGTCCAATAGCTTCTAGTTGTCTGTGATCGTTCAATTAAAGTCAGTTATTAATATGAACTGCCAAAAATAATATTAATTTCGAAAAATTGATTTTAATTTTTTCTTAGATATAACCGAAGATTCAGTTCACGTAATTATAGTTCTTATTTTAAAATTCCTTTTACTTAGATGTTCCAACGCCTGTTCTATCAGAGTCGAAAAAGGAAAACATGGTAAGTAGTGTCATGGTTCATTTTTTTATTTCCTGAAATGACACTACCACTAATAATAATGTGACATGTATTATAAGTTGGTGTATTCCGTTCTGTGCCTATTTTTGTATGTGAGGAAAAATGGTGTTGCTTGGTTGCCCAAACTTTTGATGATTGAAGTAATTTATTTATTGTAAATTATTTTCAAATTAGAAATTGGTTGACAGGTTACTGTCGTCATAAAATCAGTGGATAGTAGACTTTGTGACTGAATTGATCAATTTGTTAAAAATTGCTGTGCACTTTAACCTCTTCCAAGTGCGTCTTCGTCACACTTTTGACGGCCCAGATGTATTTCCTTCCACAGAAACCGGAGGACACCAGGGAATGTTGAACTAAATTGGCAGAAACGAAAGGTTCGCCTAAGGAATTCGAAAAATTATTCAAACAAGGATTGCATATTATGCAGGAATCTATTTTGTCAACCAAATTGCCAGCAGAATATATTTCTTGATGCTGTTCTGTCTTGTGAAGAAATGGACCTTTAGGTTAAAGGCTTAAAAGTTCTGAACTGTCAAAACAATGTTTTGGTTGCTAAATTATTGCTTTATGAAGAATCATTGTGTCCAATGCTATATCTTGTTCAAATAATCTGAAACTACGATCGCTCATTTAAACCTACTACTTCGGATGTTACCAAGCCGAACAACATATAGGTCTGACTAATGTTATGAAAAATCTCGCTTTCAATGTCTACTATTTTTTATCTCAGGTTCGAAGCTCCTCTCCCTACTTCGGTTTGGTCACCTTAGGAGTTTCACTAGCCCCAAACTTATAGTGTGGCTGATATTTATTGAAGTTTGTTTAATCTCGGTTTATTGAATGCGTTTAATCTTCTGTCTTCAATATTCTTATAATCGTGAAACCGAAATATACAAAAGAATAAGATTCGCAAACCTTGCCTAATATCTTGTGGTCAAATCTCAATTATACAGATTACTTGTTTACTAACTCATTTACCAGATACAGATTTGTGTTCTTGATTTAAAGATACTCTCTAATTGCGAAGTCTAGTATATCATACTACCCAGTTATCCAATCCGAAACAGATAGAGGACCGAGGGTTTTCACCTGGGACTTGATTACTGATAGGTTAAATGTCTTAACCAGTAAGCTACCATCCCTGTACAAATGCAAGTATAGAATATGTTGTATTAAATTAGTCAATATTTAATAGTGTTATTTTGAAATTATGTAATAAGTTGAGATGAATTTTGATTATGACTATTTACTTTATAAAACAAAATATTTTCAGGTTGAATTTTATTTAAGTGCTCCATCATTTCGTCCAAGTTTATCACAACAAATTGATATACCTAATCTTCAAGATATTGAAGGCAATTTAGAATCAATTGAATCCATGTCTCAGATGAATAGAAATTCTAATTTATCAAGTGAAAATTTAGATTCTGGAAATACATGTAATACTGTTGGTACTAGTTCGTCAGCAGTTGCAGTCGCTGCCGCATCTCTAGTTGAAGAAGAACGTTCAGTAGATCAACAAGAAATGTTTTTCTCACTTCTACTTGAATCACAATCTCGTCGTATGGATGAACAACGTTGTTATTTACGTACTACTGGACAAGGTACACCACCCATTCAATCGACTGAAACAAATAGTGTACAAGAGTCAAACAATGTTCAGTTGTCATCTGGAAATTCTCGTCGTACACCTGACTATGATAACTCTTCACTTCGCAATCAAATTAATACAAATGAAGAAGCTTTCTTTGACTTAATCGAAGGGGTTCAGGTAAATTTAGTTTTCTTGTACATTCTGAATGTGTATGTATTTCTGTATTCCACCACTATATTAAGTTACTGTTGGTTTTTATGATCCAATTCAGTTACGGTATAATGAATCCTTTTATGCAAACGAGAAGATTGAAATAAGTATGAGGGTTTCATCGCCGAACCGGATTGTGATGTACATAAATCATGGGATTATGCAATTCTCCCTCTGACTTAGATAAGGACATGTAAACTGAGACCTTGCTTAGTTTGTTAATGGACTTTCTCCATTAACGCATCTTTGTAATTTTTAATGTGTTATTTGACCCTGAAATGACATCTAAGTGCAACAAACATAATGTTCATAGTCCCCCAGTCTGTCACTTACATCTGTTGATTATTAACTAGTAGCCGGTGAATGTAAAATTTTCAGTCCTGCAGGAAATCGGTTGCATCCCGAATCGTTTAGTGTTGAAGTCTCGACTCACTGTGATACACCAAGTAGTGATACGGGTTCAACGTTTGTGGCAGTGGAGCATCAGTTACTTCAAGATTACAGATAGAACTTGTTAGAAAGTATTAATCATAGTATGAAAGCGTTATCTAACCCTATCTTTCAATTACATTCACCTATCTAACTTCGTTTTTACATTATTACTTACATCATAGCTACTTGAGATCATAAAAATTACTGCTCCATGTCAATCTAATGTATTTTCATTAGTGTTAAGCAGTGTTAGCATGTAGTATTCTGTTTGTTTTTTCTTGACTTCGGAAAATATATTACCAATTTTTTTAAAAATAATCAGTTCACCACATTTTCAACCATCAATGTTATTCATTAGTGTTATTTGCAATTGTCAACTTAGTTGTCTAATTTCATAAACGTTACTACTATCTGCTATCTGTAATAGACAAAAAGTCTTGACAGCCTCTGTTATGTAATCATAGGAAATGTTTAACTCACAAAAGAAAAATACAACATCCTCCATAGGGTTTTATTTCTGGTCATTTTTCCAGTATATGTACACATATACAATGACATTATGAAGATTGTTGAATTTAAAGTTTCACGTCATCGCTGAGCAAAAAATACTGAATAGTTGTATCGTCCTATCATGAGACTCTTAAACAGTGGACATCTACATCTACTGAGCTAGCGTTCAATTTTTTCGTATATATATATATATATATATATATATATATATATATATATATATATATATATATATATATATATGATTCAATAATTTCTATTTCCTTTCTTTCCTTGTTATGCTTCCACTACTCTATGTGTGTATGTTTAGGGTGCTAGAATGAATGACCAACGAGCCAACTTATCTGTTTTCCCTGGTCTTCGTTCTGGTCCAGGTCTTCATTTATTAGATAGCAATAATAATACTACTACTCCTGCTAATAATAATAACAACCGTTATTTCGGTTCAACTAATTCAGTGTTCAAATCAACAAGTAGCTGTGCAAGTGATGGTCTTCCAGAACCTAGGCTACGCAATAACAGCAGTAATAATGATGATGTCACTGGATTATTTGATCATAATCCAACCACCACCACTACATTTCCTGCTACAAGAGCTAGTTGTGGTAGCTGTGAAACAGGAAGAGCGGTAATAAGAGGAGGAGTGGGAAGTAATGCTGCTGGTAGTGGTGTTGATACACGTGGACGTCGCGGTCATACTGTTTCATCTACTGGTGATTTGGACGATGAGTTTTTAGAAATGATATTTCGAATTCAGGTAGGTTGTTTTCTATGGAGTTTTTATTTTGAATCCGTTTAACTAATTAATAAATTAATGTTACTTACAAATCTTAAATAAGCGATTTGGAAGTCGAAAGCTATTGGTTCAAAACATTCGAAACAGTAATACGTACGGTTGCTCCAATACCTACCTTTCTTAGCTTGTATTCAACAGTTCAAAAGACAATACTATAATGGGGGTTTGTGAAGATTGTCCAATTTTACAGTTTACGTTACGAAATGATACTAATTAGACAACCACCGGAAAAGAAGGAGCACAGGACTTTTCCTTCATCCTGATATAGGGCTCCTCATCAGTGTGGACTCTTGTTCGATCCCCGTTGGGTTGTGAATGGGCATTGTTTGAGAAGTCCCATACCAAGACGAAGCAGCTTTCCAGTGTTCCCTGATTTTCGTCTGTTGTTTTGCGTAGGTCAGTTCATGATATAGATTATGAAATTAAATGATCAAGAAGATGATATCAGAAGTTTTATTACATCTTTGATCGTTGGTGAAGTCGTGAAAAGTGTCTGAATATATTTAAAACTAGATATTTCGAAGAATCAGCATGGTTTTAGAATTCCAAAACGATGATTTTAATAATTTCTGGCTAAATCTTCGAAATGCGTTAAATTTCCCAAATGCATTAATTACTAATATTTTCATAGTTTGAATCAAGAACTGATCATGGCCAAACCATCACTAAAACTAAGAACCAATGGACGGCTGTTTTTTTCTAGCATAAAACTCCTAGTCAGTACGAAATCGAATTAAGGACCTTCATTATTCGTCGTCGTTTATTGTTCCTCTTTGTTGATCTTTAGTGCATTTCTCTTGATTGTTCTAGTTTGTTTTCATCTTTTTTATCGACTTTGGTCTAGTGGTTTTACATTAATATTAGTATTATCCTACCTCCTTACTCATCTCAGATCCAACTGGTTCAAACCTTGATATATATATATATATATATATATATATATATATATATATATATATATATATATATATACTGGACTCTGATGTTTTGGTCCAATGTGATGTACTTTTCTTCTCACTTCCAAACACTATCGTAGGATGTTCATAACTTTTGACAACCATCTAGATCGGTAGAGGCTTATAATCTCATCTAGTCACTTATTTTTTCTATATGACTGTGCATCTAACCTCAGCATGAGTCTTTCAGTGGTTCATTTAAATGAAATATAATATTATTGAACACCCATAATCTATATCTTGCAAGTTTTAAAATGACTGTTTTCCACTGCTGTTTGGAGCAGTACAAAATGACCTTCTAGTTATGGAATACTCATCCTACGATAGGTACTTGGATCCACGGCTCTAGCACCATAAGCGACATAGACTGAAAAGTATCGAGCTTATCTTTTAGTAGAGAGATCTTGTCAGTAATCAAGTGTATTAAGAATTATATGCGGCTCGTCCAATAAATCAAGTGATCTGTCCGTTAAACAGCCGTATTTTATAATGTTTATAGAACATAGTTGAGAAGCTGATATTAACTATTCTCAGTTTTTCAACAAATTTTAATATATATCCATACCGTGACTTGATCAACAATTATCTTTATAAAGCTGTAAGAGAGTGGAATAATGATCTAACTGTTAAAGTATTCTATTTTCATCTGTCGATTTGTTTGTTCGGACTCCACTCAACCTTTACTTCAATTCGAGCACCTATATAGTATTACTGGTTTCCGCTTTAGAAGTGGATTTTCAATCTATAGCACATAAACACGTATTTAAATAGTGCTAGGGCTTAGGAATTTGATGATCCGATAAACGATTGAGTTCTTAATTGTTTAAATAAATAAATCATGTGATGGACACGTTGATACGATGTAATTGATTGATATCTGATTAAGAGTTTAAATTTACTAACTCAAATCCTCGACCGAACTGATATCATCTAAGAGGAACACGACAACTGGTTAGGAAAATATGTTTTTTCTTCAGCAAACTTACACATTTATACACTATATATATTTGCTTTAAAGATTATTTGAAGTTCATTGAAACAAAGACAGTCGGAAGACGCACATAATTTAGATCGCTCAAGTACCAGTAAAATTAAGATCTGATTGTCAGACTTAATTCTTATCCAACAGTGAATTCCATCGAATCAATTAAGAATTGTTAAAAGTACACTTGAATGATACTTCGAATCATGTATTCAAGCATTGCTAATATTTTTGTTTTCCAAATATTTTCGTTTTTTAACCAACTTTCCACTATATTCTGAAGGTGTACTTTTCTTTGAGTTGGATAGTTTAGTTATGAAGCTCTTTTTTTTCTAGATAACATCGTCAGCAAATATTTGAAAGGGAAGTGGGCTATTTGAAGCTGTTTACATTTGACTAACAGATTGTTTTACTAACATGATATTTGATTAGTTGCTATTCCTAGTCGTTTTACCGTTGTTTACATCTGCAGTTTAGACTGTCTCCTCACCTAGCCCCGACCTCTAGCCACAAATAGGTTGGTTCGATTTTAGTATATCTATTGATCGATATGTGACCGATCGGAACAACTTATTGAATGATAGACATATCCAAATTAATCAGTGAGATAAAGCATACACAACCTTGAGATCAGAGGCCAGACCAAGGTATAAGACTATCAAGTTAGGTTCACAAACAGTAGTAACACAACTATGGATAACAACTAATCAAATTCCATGTCAACAGAATAAGCTGTTTGTCAATTGTGAAGAAATTCCAATAGCTCACTTTCTTTTGGAGCATGTATTGATGATGTCGTCTAGAAAGTCAATGAAAGCTTCACAACTTAATAAGCCAACTTAGAGACCACGACACATCGAAAATCTTCAAATATTATCTATCATCGTACATATTTTATTCTCTTACAGACATGTACACGAATCAACGACCAACGAACCAATCTACCTGATCCCCTTACTCAAGTTCAATCACATACTAATCCAACTCATCGTAATAATGATAATGGTGATGGTTCCAGGGGAATCCGTCAACCAATAAGTACATCAGAAGCAACAACAATAACAACGTCTAATTCACATAGAGAATTAACTTTATATACTTCATCCGGTGCATTTAATAATTTAACAAATCGATGTTCTGTCCCAGCTATCGTTGATGATGATGATGGTGATGCTAACGATCTATTTGCATTAATTCAGCGTGTTCAATCGACACGTTTAGATGAACAACGATGTCGTCCACCGTTGTAATAATATTGTCATTATCTAGAATCATGTTTATCAAACTGTGTATGTATGTCTGTATGCTACTACCGATGGAACAATTTTCATGTTTGTAAACTCCCTATACCATTTGATTTGTAAAATAATAGCCACATGACTAAGTATGAAATTCTAACATTCTCCCCTCCATAAAAATCAATTTTCGCGACAGTAGCCTTGTCGAGTGATCAATGTGGAGCAATGAACAACAACATGTAAAATAAACAATTGGGAGTAGAAAAAAAATTTGCCAGAAACGATTGTGAATTGTATTATATATTCTTTTCTTTTACTAATCATCACTTCGTCTTCATCATCATCGAGACATATTTATTTCATATCTTCACAGTTGAACGAACTTGTATCTCCTTTGGATTTTTTATTCCTGAATTACTAATCTTTGATTGAAAATCGTGATTCGTTACAATTTTTTCTTTTGCTTTATCTGACGAAGATAACATCTAATTCATGATCAATTAAAGGTTGATATGCTTTCTGGTGTTTCCTGCGTCTTGCAATTGATTGTACGCCTCCCCACTCCTTGCCCCCCATGTCAACAACATTCCTTTCAGGTGTGTGTTGTCATCTTGACTTTTTTCTTCGCATTTCGATATCTAATCCAGAGGTTATCTCTAGGTAGATACTCTTGATAAGTTTTGACGGGCTGAATTCTTTTGTTTTTAGTATAAACCAGCAGTAAATAACACTAATATTAATCATAATGTAGCAGTATATATCGGTGAACCAAAAAAGATTAAATAAGTACATGTACAACATGTATAAATATTGCATTACGTTCCCACTTCTTCCTATTGAACCATGTTTAATCTGCCCAAACTCACAAAGTACCTCATAATCCTATTTATTTCTACTTTATGTGTGTGGTTTATAATGTATTTGTGTATTCCCATAGAAACTTTCCATTATTATTATTACTATCATTCAATATGTGTGTAAACAAGTGAGTGTATTGTGCATGTACTTTGTACTGGTGAGTGTTCGCTTCCTCTCCGTGTCTGTCTGTCTATCAATCGGTGTGTGGTTCTTTTTTATGTTCTTTGTTGTTGCAATGTATCTAACTACTAATACAGTCAGTGTAATTTTTTCTTCATGTCACCACTTTCTCTCTGTCTCTTCTTCTCATAGCTCTGTTTTCTTTTCTGAATTGTCATATAGCGCATTGTCCTTCTCTGTTTCTCGCGTATATCCATGTTTTATTCAGAAAAACATATTTAGTAACAAAGAATAGATGTATTTTTTAAATTTTATTCATTTGAAAAGATGTTCTACAATTTTTGGTTCTTTTGATTCAACCTTGGTAGTAATATCGGGAAGTTGCTAATCTATTCGAAAATAATCCAAATAACTTATGTTGAACTAGTCGATCATCTGACATTCTCATTTCAGTTGTTATTGTGTTTAGAGGTAGCTTTGTTCAGCTAATTAATCTCATATTGACTGCATATAGGTCTTAATTTTTTCTCTAGTTCGACGTTATTTATATATCACTTGTTACATGGTTAATAGATCATGCAAATCTCCACATTCTTTATTGTGCGATTAGAAAGTCAAATGAGAGTGGTCATAAGTAGCCTTTATTCTATTTCGAACTTGAAAAAAACTTGATGGCATATATGAGAAAACAAGGCCGTTCATTTACCATAACACCTTTTAAATCTCACTAAGTACATAACTAGGATGCACCACATATGGGCAATTGTCAATACGTATAAAAGTAAGACATTTTTTATGCAAATCGGGTGACAGATTTATTGTAGTTAACTACCATATACCAACGGCCAAAATAAAAATTTTCAACGTCTTTTAAAATGATCCTGAGAAATGTTTGCATGCTTTTCAGGTTATCAGAGATGAAAATAATAAATTATTTATTGTGAAAGTGATTAGGAAGTAATTTTTATCCAGGCTATATACATGGATCTGTCATTTTTCCGGAGACTTTGGGCCCAGCATCTGAGATGTTAAGTTATTGCTTTCTTAACCCTTTTGCAGTTAATCTCCATGTTGGTTTCTTCTTTAAGTAGGTCTTTTAAGGCTTGCAACTTGTTGCTGAGATCTATCTTGAACTTGGTGAGCTTGTTGGCATTTTAAAGAACGGCTGTATTAAAATGTTACTGTCATACTTGTCTTACTATCAAGTGCCTCATCAACTTCAGTTTTAGCTTGACCATTGCCAGCTGGTGACGTCAAGCTATTTGGACTTTCTGATTTTTATATTCATCCCGATCTGGTCGATATTGTTTCTTGTAGTGTGAAACCCATGTATCTCTTTGCATGCGTTTGTGAAGGAATGTGGTGCCACCTACAACCTTGTTATTGAAAACACAGATCTACCAATCTTTCATCATTCTCGTCCATTTCGCTCCATGTTGCGTTTATAACAAGTATTGTCCACCCGAATTTTGCCGTTCACATACCCCGTCAGGATGAATTGGTGTTTCTCTGAGCATTTGTCTAGAACGGACTATAGCCTTTCATGAAACTGATAGTTGTTATCTCTGTTTCTATCATTAGTGGTTGCATAGCACTGGATGACATTCATTATTATCTTTTTAAGGATGCTTTGATAACCCTGGAGCAATAGGTTTACCCTCCTCTAAACGCATCAGCGATTCTTTGAACAACAGCGCCACTCCGCGCGTATTTTTGGGAGTCATTTTCTTCCTTATCATCAGAATACAATAACAATTCTCTTTAAGTTTGTTTTTCTTTCCTAGACTGTGTACAATGGGTTCCACTCATTTCAAACACTGTTACGTCCTTGATCTTGTTATATCTGGTCGTCGCTGACTGTTGTGCCGGAAAATACGCTGACCACTTATACTCGGAATGAGGGACCTCTGCAATTCCCGTACTGTGAAAGTGAGAGCACAAAAACTGGTATAAGTGATGATTTATTAACCCCAAAACACTATGACGACGATGATGATGAATAACAATAGTCTAAAATACACTGGTTTATATATTGATTGTACACCCATTTTGATTAATAATTAGGATTAAATCACATACTCAGTTATAACAAGTCACTTAGTTCATGTCAACTGAATACAAGAATATCGTATATTATACAGAAAATATCATACTGGGAAAACAAATCAAATACTACACTGAATGATCACGTTGGATTAAAACGGATGTAATGTTGAATAAAACTCATAATGAGTAATTCAATTGACTTTTCTTTCCATCATATCAGATCTGTTTACCCAATAATATACAGGAGAGAACTAGTCTTGATCCATGTTAAGGCTTTGATATTATAGGCTCACTGGTTCAAACTTAAGGCTGGAAATCCATTAGTCCGAATTGAAACTAACAGTTTTAGGACTAGAGACAAGAAAATATTCTATCACCTGATTGGTTGACAAGTGGGAAATAGAAGACCAGAAAACGGGATCCCCACTCGTTTTCTTCATGATTCAGATCGATAAAGAAAGATGTATGAATAAATAGATGACCAACAAAACCACAACGCGCAAACAATTATGTTCGAACTAAGCATTACGGTAGAAATTTAGAGTACAAGAGGTTACGTTTAAATCACAATAGCTTTGGAATAGAAAAGGCTATGTCAGTGAATCAAACGAAAGCTTGTGGTTTATAGGATAATCTACGGAAAAAACTAATTTTTAGTAGTTTAGAAACGTTGAATTATGTGAAATAATGTCCAAAAATAACTCCCGTTGTTCGTCATGGCTTCTTCATTTTCCATTCACATCATTGTATGTTCTCACTTAGGCCGCTATTCGAATGTCTCTCCTTGTCTTCCACATCATCCGGACATTCATTATACATATATTAATTGTTGCCCTGGTTATTATAAGTGGCATCGGGATTGTGGCTTCCAAAAATCTCAGATTTCATCATGTCATGTCATAAATTTTGACTACCATTTTTGTAGTGGGGTTATATTTTTAGGTGGGATTACTAACATTACACCCAGCCCTACTCCTTCACCAAGGCTTGCGTCCAGTATTAGATCCAAAAAGGTTTCAGGTGTAGTTATACGAACGTATTGCCCGAGAATAACGTCTAATGTTATATTTTACCTTTTTTTGAAAAATTAAATCATGCTTCTAACTATTACAAATGTAGATTTATTGGCATACAAACATTAGGAGGAGAGGTAGTCATTTGCTTGTTAGAGTGGTTAAATACATACTTAAATGACTACAAAAACAAATGAATTCTTATACTTAATTTAAAGCACATAATAAACAAACATCATCGATTGCCAAACATTTATTTGAGATGGAGACGATAGGGTTGTTATCAAATTAGCCTTTTTAGTAATAGTATAGAAATGCCGATGGGTAAATACTAATATTTACTGAAGCATTAGCCATTATGACGATTCGAACCTATTTTGCATACTCCAAAACAGGTTTTTCTCACTCTGAGTTTATCTTGAAAATATTGATTTATTATTATTCAGAACAGTGCGATTTATATTTTTTACTTATTTTATTATTATTACTATGTTCATTATTTTATGTGAAAATTATATTTGGAATGACCTCAGCGATTGGACTTTAAATAATTCCAACGTTTCGTCCAGCTAACTTGTCTAGACCTCTTCAGGGTGTTATTATTGGTCTCTTATGTTCCGATTTGTCTAATGTGATCATTACTTCTCATATTATAAATATATTAGCAAGTAGGTGAATGATATTATTGTTGTTCAAAATGCATTACTCTATTATATCACATTAGTTGTGTGATATAATTTGTCTTCTCACTGAATCATCCAAATGTATACAAGCTAACACTTACAAATGAAACGAAATTCACCCTTGTAGCACAAGCCACTGGCTATCTGGACGTATTAAGTTAGCGGTTAATGTGTTGGGTGTTTGAATCGAAGGGAACTGCGTTCGAACCACCCTAATGGAAATCGACGTCGAAATGCAAGTGTGAATTCAGCTGATGAGTCTGCAATAGAGCGAAACGCGTGTTTCCGACTGCACTGATAACCATCGTTCAACGTTGTTTAGCAGCTAAGTAGTTTTGCATACTAGCTGATGTAAAATATGCTAATTTTCAAGTATTTATTTAAGATGAGCCAAAAAGATTAACTGCTAATTGGATCATTCGTCTCTTTGAGAGTTTGTTCTCTAATTTGTATTTTTATTCCCACTCGTTTCTTTCTCAACTCATTTATTCATCTTTCATTTATCTCATTAGTTAGTATTTTGGAAGATAATCTCAAGTGAAGGGAAAAAACTACTGACCAAAACAACAAATCAATTTAATTATTCATTTATTTGATATTTACCGTTCGTTTAAAAATTGCTATTCATTATTTAATATCAGTCTTGTTTATGGATATTAGAAAGAAACAGTGAGAAATAAATGCTATTTTCAAAACGAGAACATACATTCAATGGATATTAGTCTATGGGGAAAAGTAAATTAAGAGAAATGAATAATTTACATAAACTGCTTAGCTTCAGTGATAATTATATGTGTTTACTAGCGAGAAGTTGTTACCGTTAGGGTCAATTATGTTCAGACGTAAGCAGTTATTACTGATAAAGTCGATGAGCATTATTAGTTAGCCAGTTTTAAGGTGAGTATGATTGCTGTTAGAGAAATGAGGACGTTGTCACTGAAGTTGCCTACATCACGGAATAATACTTCTGCTTCATGTGCCTGATAGAGGAACTGGGCTAAAGTGGTATCTAGAACTTTTGGTTGTTTCTCCATTTATTTAGTTATTAGGCGCTTTATATTGCAGTGTACTTTTCACTTTTCAAGCACCAATCTTCAGTAATATTTCTGTTTTTCATTCGACATTTCCAGCTGTGCTACACTGATATTTTCATAGAACCCAGTTTCAGATAACTTCAATTAGCTGAAATGATATCTGAAATAAAAATTACACTCTAATATACAGTACTTATCCATTAAATGCAAAGAAAAGTGAAAAAGAATGCTGGGTATGATACTTTTAGTGAATAATGAAGACGTTACAGACAACTTCAGACGATTCTGCCATTCAATATATATATACAAATTACATTGGAAAATGACAATCTTAACTATGTTAGAAATCACTGAAAATAACTGAAAACAAAATGACTAACTTATTCGATATAAATGAACAAAAAAGGTTAATATTCAATTCATATACGTATGTGACGAGTCATTGTATAACCTTTCATATAACTATATTTCGCTTGAATATTATTATTCAGTATATTAATCTGTGATTTTAAGTAGTTAAGAATTGTATTACTTCGAATTTCCTTTTTTTAGTAACTGAAATGATCAAACTGAAAACAAAGAAAAGAAACTTGCTACATTTTATAATTGCAATTGATTTAATTTAAATTTACTTTCTAAGGTATTTATCAAGTCCCATACTAGGGTGATACAGCTATCTGGGGTTTTCTAGTTTTCAATGATTACCACCACTGAGATACAGCCGA